AGAGCTCATGGCGGCCGCAACAATGAACAGGGGCGGATATCCTCCGATCTCATACCACACCCCGCAGTCAAACTCACCAGCATCTGTTCAGTCTCCACAGCACGACCAGCACGGCCGGCCAATCTATGGACAACCGCCCAGCCAGATGCCTCAATCAATGTACTACACACCCTATGCTTCGGCGCCAGTTCCCCAACAGTCACCCTACCAGCAGCATCCTTCAAGCGCGCCACAGCAACCAATGGCGACGCAATCGCTGCTCATGTCCCACCAGCAAAGCCAGCAGATGCAGCATCAGCAACAACAGCAACATCAGCAGCATCATCCCCAAACTCCTGGAATGACAGGAAGCCCCAAGCCGCGCATGTCGCAGACGCCACTTCAACGGCCACCGTCAGGACTCGGCCCGCCTCAAGCCCCGCCTCAAGGCCCTCCCGTCGGCACCCCCAACATGCACGCTGGCCCTCCCGGAGGACCCAACGTCAACCCTAATGCCGCGCCTGGTCCCATTCCTGCCACCACTCCCCTAGTTGTGCGACAAGACCAGAACGGTGTGCAATGGATCGCGTTTGAGTACTCTCGCGACAGGGTTAAGATGGAGTACACCATCCGCTGCGATGTCGAGTCCATCAATGTTGACGAGCTGCCGCAAGACTTCAAGACCGAGAACTGCGTATACCCTCGCGCTTGCTGCGCCAAGGATCAATACAAGGGCAACCGTCTTCACTACGAGACTGAATGCAATACCGTCGGCTGGGCTCTAGCGCAATTGAACCCTTGCCTGCGCGGAAAGCGTGGTCTCATTCAGCGCGCCGTCGACAGCTGGAGGAACAGCAACCAAGACCCCCGACTGAGGAGCCGACGCGTGCGCAGAATGGCCAAGATGACCACCAGGAAAGCCCAATCGGCTAACCATGGTAACCACATGGCTGGACCAGGTGGACCAGGTGCTCCTGGCGTTCCCAACTCTGCCGGATTAGCAGCACCGCCCCGACAACCCAACATGGGCATGGGCGGCCCTCAGATGCACCATCACCATGATGGACCTGGAGGGCCCCACGGAGGACCAGATGACGTTAGCGGTATGTTTCACCAGATGTGATGTGATAAGGCGCGATTGTTGTTGGCTGTTAAATGATACCTCTGTCGTTCTTTCTCCATGTACATTACATACTCCTTGATGTAATACCCCTTCGATACCACTGCCCCATGCATGCTTGCATATATACCCACCCCATAGTTACACATGTTTTTGGTTCAGCAGCGCAGGACGGGAAGTAGAGACATGTTTGGACGTGCAAGCTAACTCTCTTTGTGTACAGCCAATGAATACGGTGAATCACACACTCACCATCACCAAGCGCCAAACGGTCAATCATCATCACCTACCGACGGGCGGCCCGCTCAGAGCTTCTACCCGAATTACCCATCGAGCGACTCCGTCGCAGGATCCAGCGGCATGCCGCCGATCCACGACAGCCTGAGTCACCCTCCGCCTCCATCGCACGCAGCGGGCGTGGCCGTTTCAAAGCAGCAAGAGCAAGACGAAGAAGAGCGAAAGCTAGCCATGTTTGGCGACTTACCTGACTCAAAGCGCCGCAAATTCATCCTTGTAGATGATGCGCAACGAGGAACTAGGGTTCGCGTGCGAGTTACTCTCGACACGGTCAAGATGGAGGAGATGCCTGATTCTTACCGCAAGTCCAACTCGGTATTCCCTCGTAGCTATTTCGCTATGCAAATGACCTCTCCACCTGCCAGCCCTCGTGGCAGCAAGGTCTTTGCTGACGAGCCCGATGTTGAGAGCGACCCGAGCTTCCCTCTGGCTGGCTCTACTGTTGTGCCTGTTCCAACGCTGGATGGCGAGACTCGTGTGCCGAAGCCGCGTCTTACTCGTGCGAAGCGGTCGAAGGAGATTACGCTCAATGATCTTGGCTACCGCATGAGCTGGAGCCAGAGTCGTGTTTTCGCAGGAAGGACACTGTTTCTGCAAAAGTCTCGTAAGTCAATGGCTCGGTATGAAGAAGAACGTTTTACTGACCTTATCAACAGTTGATGCCTACCGCAACAAGATGAGAAGTAGCATGATGGGCCAAGGTCAAGATGTGACCCAAGTAGCCCCACATTTCGAGACTCGTGTTGGAAAGAGGCGGTGGAACGAGAGAATCGAGAAGAGCAAGAAGGCGAGGCGCGATGGCTCTCCTTAAGAAGTCTCAGGCCACATGCTCCAAACGGATGCCCTGGTTGCAGGCAGCCGCCCCGTTGACCCACTTTCTCGGCACTTGCAGGGAGCCCCTACGAACGACCGGGGTTGACAACCCTTTTCGACTCGGCACCAAATCCTTCGCGACAGGCCCGGCTGTTGCTTACACCCATGTTTCATCATGGCTGTATTGGGTTTCAGACTGGTCATCCATCTGCCGATGACTGCTTCTCTCTTTTCGATACATCACGGCCACCCACCACCGTCTTGATACCCGTTGACAAGTTATGATCTCTTGCGACATACTCGGTCGGTTTTCGGTCTGTTCTTTTCTCCCTGTTTATAGCGTGTTGAGCGATCGTCTTTTGTGCGAACGGACTTTGGCGCCTGCGGTAAAAAGAGACACGGAAGCATCTAAAAGCATGACTCAGGACGTTGTCTATGGCATGAGGAAGGAGTCTTGTCGGCTATGATTGCGTCTTCGGATATGTTTATATTGCGCATGTTTTGTGAGTATTCGGTAGATGGGCTAGTTGTTGCTACCCTGGACATATAATAGACAATTCAAAAACAAACATGCAGTCTGACATTAAGTGATTTCTTGCGAGTGTTCGCAGCCCGGCAAAAGTCCAGAGTAAATTGCCCTCCTCCAAACCTTGGAAGAGGCGTTTTGTGTATCATCGAGGTGACCCGGAGGATGCATCCCAGATGCAGCCAGCTGACCAGTTCGCCCGCAATCCTTCAAAGCACCGAACGAGAAGAGAACCCACATGAACCGCTCAGTAGCCACTCACGATCACTTACAGCGGCACGGCACGCAAGCCTTTCCATGCATGCTCGACGTGATATTGTCCGAGACAAATAAATCACGTCGATAGTCGTTCGGTCGACCTACTCTCCCCTAGGGACATCCCTCCCCCATACGTTCGCAAAGCGGAAGGCGGACAGGTGACAGGCCGGGAGAGCCTGGTCTCGCGTGGCTGAATACCACTCATGTCTACGCGTTGCGTGCCTGGTGCCTGACTACCCAGCTCAGGCACACAAGGATGATTTGCTTTTATGGGTGGGCAAGGTGTGGGTAGTAAGGGGCGAGGGGGGCGCACACAACAGGGCAGGGTATCAAAGAAGGCCAGGCACACGACGGCAACGCAATGCAATGTTGTGCGACGCGACGCGACCCGACGGTTGTTGGGGGTGGTGGGCAGAACAGGCTGATTGCGGTTTAGACACGATTGCCGGAACGGCTGGCCGTTGGAGACCGAAATTACCCATGCATGCATGTGGCATGTGGCACGCGAGACGAGGTACGCGCGGAAAGGACCCCAACCAACCCAACTGCTGCCAACCCCCCCGAAGGCGTCGAAAACGGTAAAACTGTTACGAACCTAGGAGTAGTCGGAAAAGGGCCCCTCCCTCCGTCTTCCAAAGCAACGCAAAAAAACTCTCCGAAGTTGCAGCGATGGTGCTTGGAGGGCATGTCACACTGGGCGGGATATGCCTAGTTGGCTTGTCAAAACTAAACCAGAGATGGGCTGACATATCGTCGCTTTTCGCGCTGACGGCAGTCCCAAGGCTCTTGGTATACTCGTGTGTGAAACAGATGCTTTTCTCCGTCTGCGCACTCTACCTGCAACAATTCACTTTCTAATCGACGCCTTCTGTCCCGTCTCGCAGTATCCCAGATCAATCCTCCGCAATGCCAATTCTGCGACTACGCAACCTACATCAAGGACTCGAGTCGTCCTGTCCACTCGCGGCCGCCCCGATGCTAATACTAAGAAGAACCGAACTCCCAAGACCTTCTCCACTGCAAGTCTGCCAACCTAGAAAAGTGAACTAACTAATCCGAACCAACTACGTCGCTAGCTAGCAGCTACTCCACTTTCCAAAAAAACTCCGGGCACCCAAAGCCAGCCAGTCACAAGTTGGTAAAGCCCACTTTCCGGCACTAAAACAGCTAACCTGACGTTAACGTTAATCTTCGGCGCGACTTGCCAAACCGTTGAAAGTATTAGCACCGCGACCGTTTTTCCTGCGTCGTTGGTGCTCGTTTCCCCGTCTTGGCTCTCGTGTGCAGGATGGTTGATTGAGCTCGTCCCTCCTTCTTCTAACAAGCGTTCAGCGCCGTTGAGTGAGTGAGGCTGACTGGCTGGTCGCGTGCAGCTAATGAGCTAGTATTCTAGCCATTGCGGGGCCAAAAAAGCTTTGCCTTTTACTATTGACACTGTTAGGGCGTCTACTACTACTGTAGATGAGACTTTTCGACGCGTCGAGATTCGGGTTCTAGGAAGGCGTTTGTTGGCGGTTGCTGTCATGCGCTTGAGAGAGTGGGGTTGCAGGTGCGTGAACGGGGACGGAACTAGTATTGTCTGGCCGATTCGGTGCTTTGATAAGATGCAGCGCATCGTCATCTCCCTGCTTGCAGTCTGTGGTGATCTAGATGCTTTCACTGTGAGTAAGCTGTGGATGGGTTGGCTAGCCGGGGGCTGTTCGTTTTGCCTTCACGTAGGAGAGATTTGACGTGTTCGATGGGCTACAGTGTGATACTATTCGGGACTTTGTACCAGCTCTTTGTCACCACTAATTGAGCAAGAACCTTATAGAGTTTCGATGAATGATAGAAGTGTAGCTAGTGCGAAGCATATCGCGACTTCATGCGAGTAGACGAAGATACGGATACTTCGATACATCCTGCTCTGCAAGCGACATCTCCACTTCTAAACGTTCTTGCGATATGGGTGTCCCATTCAAGGTACATCGTACAAGGCGTATCCCCATGACTTCAGCTCCATGCTCCTCACCTCATAGTCTTTCTTGCGCGCCTTCCACTCTGCCCGGTCATACCCTGGGCATGCTCCGGCATCTCAACTGCGGTCACTACACGTGCGCGACTGCCACCGTCTGTCCCTCTTGATCTCGTAAGCCTTTCCTGCTCTTGCGTCAGTCTCAGTCTCTCCCGATCCGCCTCATGCACAATAACGCCGTCGATGACGCTGTACTTACTGATGTCCGGGTCATCGTAGTCGTCCGAGTCGTCTTCCACTATGGGTCGAGCAGCGCGGGACTTGGCAAGATACCTGTCGCCATTGAAGCGAGACTCTGTCCATGAAATCAATCCAGCGCCGTGTTTTGGGGATGCGATTTCGGAGTCTGAGACGTCAGCCAGCATTTCCACGTCCTCTGCAGCGTTGCCAGCGGTGCTAGGCGCGGGTGTGATGGACATGGCCCGCATGCCACCTCTGACTTGCTCGAAAATTCCAGCTTCGGCTGTTGCTCTCTCGCGCTGGTTCGCCTCGTCAATAGCAATGCTGGTCCGAGTTTCTAATTCGGCTTCGCTAAGTTGGGTGATCTTTGCAGACGCGTCAATTTTGGCCTTTCGAGGTGAGCGCGATACTGTTGCTCCTTGAGTCTTTAACGTGACGTTTTTAAACCTCTGAGACGCAGGTGTCGGTGTAGATGGTGTCGTCGGCTGAGGCTTTCTGTTGGGCACACGCGGTGGGGTGGTCGGTAATGCCGCATCAGTTTGGTTGTTAACCTTGGGTTTCGATTTCTGCAAGCTCGTGAAGCCAAAGCCATTTTTTCCCTTGTTGTACACACCCTTTGATGCTAAAGCTGGTGGTAGTGGCGGAGGAAGTTTAGCCTTCTTGGTCGCCGGCCTAGATGTCTGTTTCTTCACAGGTTCAGGAACATCGTCCATCATGACAGGGGAACTAGGCTCCTCATCATCAGACGGCGGGGCATAGTCACTCTCCTCATCGCTGCTGAGGTCAACCACCTTCCGCTTGCCTCTGCCTGAACGGGAAGAGAAAGATGTCTGTGATACGACTGACGCATCACGTTGACTTTGCGAAACACTCGAGGCGCGATTAGTAGGCGTAGAAGTAGATACCTGCGACCCAGCCCGAACACCCCTAGCAACCGCAATACTGTCTTTGGTGGCACTAGCTGGAAGGAATGGCCTTCTGAAGCTGGGAGTCTTGGGAGTGGCAGGGGTAAGTGGCTCTGCCGTTGGGGTGCGAGAGCTCTCTTGAGTGGATACGAGACCAGTATCTTGAGGTGACGGAAGCATGTTTGGAGTGTGCTGCTGTGGTTTTGTTGGAGCTATGCATACGTTAGTTCAGTCACTGTAAGATCGGAGACAGCAAGCTTACTATGCGGAGCTTCATGCATCGCCGTGTCCATACCATTCGAACCCGATTTACGAAGGTCGATCTCCACGCTTTTGGTTGCATGATTCGGGACAGAATCAGGACCAAATCTGTCTCTACGCCCAAGGTCTTGTGAAGACTCGATTGAACCATTCAAATAGTAAGCATGGCCTTCCTTTCGCAAAACTGCGTGATCGTCCCGCGGAAGGCCATGGAAAGCCGATTCCCGGAACATCGATGAGTGGCCTGATTGGTATCCTAAACTTTGTTGCGACTGAAAGTTGTCTGGCTGGTGGGCTTGAGAGAGCCTCGAAGAAGCGAAACTGCTCGTCGACTGTAGGCCTTGTGAAGCAGAGATTGTGGGGGTAGCCCACGGAGAGGAGGCCGATAATGGTCTACCTCCAGGATTGAACGTTGTTTCCCGACGAGTATCTGGCATGCGAGGCACATTCGCCCAGTTGCCAAAACCCACGCCCCCGACCAGGTTCCGTTGTGTACTGAGAACAGCTGCCGGCGCATGCTGAGAGGCGACGGAGTTCGAGACGTGCACACCAGAAGTGTTACTGTTACTTGTACATAGCGCAGGCGGTTGTATAAGTGGGTGTGAGGGTTGCTGAGTGAAGACACTGTGTTTACGCTTCAAATGTTCTGGCTCTGACTTATTCTATATGCGTTAGTCTTAGGACAAGAACGTTTTTAGGATTTGCCGACTTACCGCATTTCCGATATTGCCAGACAAGCCGGGAGGGTCTTTCGCGATGGGCTCTTGCCCGGCTATCTGTAAAGCAGGTTTCTCCTTGAGTAATACTAGTTCATCGTCATCCTCGTCGGAACAAAGATCAATGATCGTGACAGCGGCCTTCTTATTCCTAAGTCCTGCTACCGGTGTGGTTGTGTTGCTCGCTGGCTTGGATATGGATGGTGCTTTGGCTCTGGGCGCCGGCGTCTTCTTGATGGTGGGAGCAGCTCTCGGTGGTGCAGCAGCTGAACGACGATCCGCCTGACTCTGGACACCCGTCTCAGACCCGACAGCCGTGTTACCAACCTTTTTCTTTTCCCTATTTGCTGCCGCCTTTGCCTTGCTCCAGAACTCTTCCTCTTCTTTCTGGTGTTTTGCGAGAATATTCGCTCGCTCCTTGTTGACATTGTCCTGAAATTTGGCAAAGGCCTCCGTCGCGTATCGTTGAAAGCCCTTAAGTTCAGCGTCGTGCTTTTGTCGGAAAGTGAGCCACTGTTTGTCTGCAGCACTGACCTCGGGGGGTTTTGATGCCATGCTGAGAGTCGCAACGCGCTGAAGTCAAGGCAAAGATATTAAATACTGTGAGGTAAGAGATTTCGTTGCGAGCGGGAGAAGGTGGGTACATGGAGTGGTGACATACCAGCTTGGACAAGGTGAAGGTGAGTGAGAGATCTGCGCGATTACAAACGGGACCAAGGTAAAGGCGTAACTCATGGTGACCACAGTTTTGAGGATGCGTAAGTAATGTAAGACCTCTATGTTCATGGCTTAGGCTTGCAGGTAGGGTGCCTTGAATAATAGGTAAACGGAACGCCGAGACGCAAACGACGAGTATCCACTTTTGACCTAGTAGCTGTTTGTGACCTAGGATGCTATATAGAGAGGGATTGGCTGCGCGCAAGCCCAATGCGATATATTAGTCCAGTACAGTGCTTATCAAAAGATGCGTGCGCGACAGAGACTCCATCGCATCGACTCTCAGGATATCGATCCTCCTGTTCCCAATTATCATGACCCATACAAAGCGCGAGGTCGACTTCGGCTAGGTCTAATAGCCTCGCGGGCATGAGTAGCCATACACCTGCTCAGTGCAAAGGCTCGCAACTAGCTCGAAGGCTTCCGTTGCTGCCTTCCTTGTCTCAGATTTGCGTCGCTGCGAAGTGGAAGTGAGACCTTTCAGTAGTCGTCTGGTCGAGACTCTCCAATCAGATCGCAATAACCTGCACTGCTCTTGTGCCGTTCACCATGCTCTCGGGTATAAGATGGGTCCTCGCGCCTGTGGTCGTCTCCATTCTTGAATCGGTGGTTCTGTGATGCTTTCTCTCCCTTCATAGATATTTCTTTGCAGCAGTCGCAACTCTCTGCCTAAACACCGGGCTCTTGATGACTTCGCCATTGCCCACAGCAAAAAAAGGATTCATGATAGTCTTGACCCATGCCTCGTATACGTCGACCATGAAGTTCTTAACAGCTTCTTCCGTGGCTGGGCTGCTGGGGTTGTATAAACCAGCACCTCCTCCCAAAGCAGCTCTCCCTCCAGCCAGACTTCCTCTCGCGCCTCCAGCACCTCCACTCGTCAGCCCCAGACTTTCATCCCGCGGTCTTGTGAGCAAAAGGAAGCGTGTGTTACCGCCAGTGATCCAGCACGACACGAAGCAGTTCTGGTATTTGTCGATATGCTTGAGATACATGGGCGCGGAGCCACTGGATGTAGAAGGGCCCCATTGTACTTCTTCAACGATATCGAGTGACGAATGCAGGATGAAGGGGACGAGGGCGCGCTCGGCGGGGGTATAGTTCGCGACACCGGTGCCGCCGCTACGTGAGGTACCGAAGTCGTGCGTGAAGAGGGGGACATCGAGAGGTGATAGGATGGAGAATGTGTACGACATGGCGAAGTATGGGGAAGTCGGTCGGTATACGTGTGGAGTGTTTGGCGTGCGCCGTGCGGCTCAGGCGAGGATACGTAATCTAGCCCAGTACAGTCTTTCTGCTCTTACTGATTTCGAAAATAAAGGCGCCAGGGTTCGTAATTCGTATCGTCGTAAGTGTAGCTTGGGGTTTAGCTGTGCAGCGTGTGGGGTGTGTTGGTGAGCTTCCCCACGCTAATCGGCATGTCCGCCAAGAAAGTCCGCGGGAGTGCCTTTCGAAGAATATCGCGACTTCGATTGCGCAACCCAGCATCGCCAACCCCAGCACCTCACCATGTTCGGTCCATTCCGCCTCACAAACCCGCTATCGGGCGGTCTATTATGGTGCGACTCCCTACATTCCCCGAATTGTCATCCGCGCGCAATTGCTCGTCGTCGCCATCACAATTCCCGCTCCGATGCACCTTCTATCAGTTGCGACTCGATATCTGGCAGCCCGTGCTGACAAAGCTATAGGAAAATACCATGGCGGCTATCCAGACACCAGAAGTACAGGCAACGCGAGCGCCTACGGCACGTTGACACTGTGGTCGGCACAATCGATAACGCACTACGACGCATGGGACAGAGCATGAAGAAGGTGGAGCGCTGGAAGATGGAGATGCCGACCGAGGCAGAGATGCTGCCCAAGGACAAATACACCGTCTTCGACCGTAAGGTGAAGAGGTATCGAAAGGGAATACACAGTAAGTTGCATGCTTCTTGTGCATTTGGACACGGCGCTGTAGCGACAGGAAAAGACTCGGAAACTCTGGTAGTAGGGAGAAACATCGTGCTTGCGATCGCTGACATTTAACAGAGGTGCCAAAGTGGACAAGAGTCAGTCAACGACTCAATCCTCCGGGTTTCTAGACGGACCCCGCCGGGAACGACGGTCGCGTGTGTGTATACCATGTATTACTGTACAATTTGCATCAGAAACGGCGCTATGGGAAGAAAGCAATACAAAAAATCTCAAATCTGCAATGGGCTATGTCGTTTCTTGAGTGCAAACATCAATCTGCATCGTTAGCGAGTTCAGCATCCCCCCTTGCATACGTGACAGCTATGCACGCTATCGTAGATACTCGTCCATCTTTCCGTACTCTACCACCTTCTAGGCTACACTTTTTCCAAAACCCGCCAACTATGTCAACATCCCCTGCATTACATACTCTGACCGCAGTGGAAGCACTGGAACTGCTTAAAGCCAATGCCATCACAGTCGAGACCTATGCGCAATCTCTCCTCGACCGCATCCGCGACCGGGACGATATCGTAAAGGCATGGGCCCATCTAGGTGAGTCTTTCTCTGCATGTAAACATCACTCGATCTGAGCAAAGGCCAGATCATGAGCTTGTTCTACGCCAAGCTCGAGAACTAGATCAGATACCAGAAGATCAGAGAAGACCGCTGCATGGGATGGCCATAGGCATAAAAGATGTTATGAACACGAAAGGTCGTAAGGTACAGTCTTTTGCATGCCAGATGTTGACAAGCCCCAGACATGCCCACCCAATACGGCTCTCCAATATACAAAGGACATCAATCTGGCTTCGACTCATCGGCTGTTGCGATTCTGCGAGCTGCAGGAGCCTTAATATTCGGCTAGTCAATCCACCTTTCCGATAAATAATGCCTGACGTCCTCCACAGGCAAGACAACAACAACTGAGTTCACCATCACCAACTCAGGACCTCCGACCACCAATCCCCACGACCCGTCTCGAACCCCAGGCGGCTCCTCATGCGGATCCGCCGCCGCCGTAGTCGATATGCAGATTCCGCTTGCCTTGGGCGTCCAGACAGGCGGCAGCATCATACGACCAGCAGCCTTCTGTGGGACATTCGCCATGAAACCCACGTACAACGCCATCTCAACCTCGGGCCAAAGAATCGTTTCTTCTACATTCGATACTATCGGCTTCTTCGCTCGTAGCATAGCGGATCTGCAGTTACTAGCAGACGTCTTTTCCCTTCCTGACGACGAGCACCCGAAGAAAGTATGCTTGGGAGATATCTCAGTCGCTCTTGTCAAGACACCAATGTGGTCCCACGCCGGACCTGGTACTATACATGCCATGCAGAAAACAGCTGTGATACTGCAAAACCACGGCGTCCAAGTCGAAGAAGTGTCTCTACCGGATGTCTTTGGTGACGCAGACACTCTAACACGCTCTCAAAACGCGATCATCGACGCTGAGGCCGCACTTGCTTTCCGCGAAGAATACCGTTCGCACAAGGGTGATTTGGACATCTCGATCCGGAATCTAGTAGAGAACCACTCTAAACACGCTGAGGCAGAAAAAAAGAAAAGGGAAGCACTGGACAAACTCGCTCATCTGCGGACCGCATTCGACGCGACAGCAGCCAAGTATCCCGTCATCATCGCGCCGAGTGCTGTAGATGAGGCGCCGATGGGACTTGGGGATATGGGGAGTCCGGTATTCAATACGCTGTGGACGGTAAGTTGACATGTCACAGGTGGTAGATAAAAACGAGTTTGACTTTTATCCAGGGTCTGCATGTGCCGGTGGTGCACATACCTGCTTTTATGGGAATGAATGGCATGCCTGTTGGTGTTTCTCTTGTTGCGGGAAGAGGGCGCGATAGGCATCTTCTTCGGATTAGTAGAGCTCTTGGTAAGGTTCTTATTGCTGAGGGAGGGTGGCAGTCGAAGGCTTCGGATCGGAGTTCGTGCTAGGAAGGCGGTTGTGGAGTAGCGTGATAAGTGAACATCATGCGTAGTTGACCACGACATTAATCGATAGACCAATGGACAGAAGATCAAATTCACAGGGCAGTAGTATAGATGAATGTAACAAGGATGAGTAGCGTGAGATTCATGCTAACTGGCTATCTGGCTAGCCCGCTGACAAAACGACTGACATGTCTTCTAATCCACCCAGTGAAAGCAAATGCATAATGAAAAGGATATGCAGCAATTCCACTCTTACACCCAAACCAACAACATCCCTACCGACGAACCCACGAAACTAAGCAGTCTGCGTGCCGACATCAACACCCTCAACGCCCACCGCAGGAGTAGCAGCAGACGCAGGCTGAACAGGCGCTTTCCTCTCCCCAAAGTTGTGCAGCCTCTCTCCTATAAGATAAACCTCATCTCTCACCACCAACCTCCATCTCACAAGCAGCCTGACAACCGCCGACGAAGCCCACATAACCACCAAAGCAAGTCCCACAGCCGGGAAGCTGAAGCGCCACAGTAAGCTCTTCGTCGCTTCATTCGCATTCCGGTATAGCGTTCGACTCGTGACAAATGCCAGACTGGATGGAACGGCAATAGCGACGAGGAAGAGCGCGAGCACGGGGATGAGGAAACAGCGTGTAGCGATCTTGGCGTTGGGGTAGAGCCAGCCATCTCTGATGACAGCTTTGAACGCACGTGCAGGCCGGGAATTGCGGTTCGCGAAGACGAGGCGTGCGGCGAGACGAGAGTAGAGGAACCCGAGAGTCCAGTCTTGGATGACGTGGACGACGTGGGGTTCCTTGGGGCCGAGGTAGGCGTGCAAGGGCATGAGGAAGTAAAGTTCTAGAAGGACAGCGAAGAGGAAGGGGATGGCGAAGATGAGGGTTGCCCAGACATACGAGAAGCGGAGGGCTCGCCCGCCGACGCGGGAGGTGGTTGCTGCGATGGTGTGGAGTGTGGACATGGGATCTGGGATGGATCGATTGAGCGACGAGATGAACTTGAAGGCGTGGTAGGCGGAGTAGCCGATGCTGGCGAGCGTGTAGACACCGAGGGAGAACGCGTGGATGTCGTTCATCTCAACGGTCGGTGGGAGGAAGAGCGAGAAGAGGTAGCGGCCGAAGAGGAGGGGTAGGATCGTTACGCTTACTCCTGATAGACCCATGAAGATCCATATCGTGACGATGAAGCAGAGAATGCGCACGCGGAACCATGGTGGGATGAATACCATTGACACGAGATCAGAGTTGTGCACTCCGCCCTCATTCTCTCCATCTTTGCGCACGTTGTCGCGGTCGACTTCGACGAAGACGGGTTGGCCCTTGGGGATACGAGCTTGATCGGAAGCGGGCGCACGAACGTATCGACCATCATCGCCTTCTTGCGCAGGTACCTTGTCGCCGAAGAGGAAGTTTGACAGGCGAAGGAACCCAGCGCACTTCTGGAAGCACCATTTGTAGATGGTATGCAGACCCTCGCTAGGCTTGTAGAATTTGATGATGACCGGCGTGAGGAAGTTGTAAAAGAGAAGGTCGAGCGGAAATTCCAGCGATGGTGCTTCGGTAGTCCAGTGAATTGGCAACACGTTGGTAGTAGCACGACTCAAGGTCCATACGACACCACCGAGGCATACAATAACGAGTGCTCCATACACAAGAGCGCTGAAGGCGATCTTGCGAAGTTGAGTCGTAACGCTACGCTCTAGGACGTCCCGAACAGGATGGAAGGTCGGATCATCTGGGTCGCGGATGAAGTAAAGCACACCCTTGCGCATGATCTTGCGGCACATGGACACAAAGAGCGCGAAGTGGAACATGTAGCAGGTTCCGATAAACCAATGCACGAATCCAGATGTCCAAGGACTCTCTCTCGCGAATTGCCACCGGTTGTACAGCGTAGCGTTCTGGAATAGTGGGAGCATGGCCAAGTCGAGAAGCAGCCCGCAGTACAGCGGAAATGCCAACATCTCGATACTAATGATAAGGATCACCTTGAGCACACCTCCGGCTTGTTGTAGTATATCAGAAAGAATGCGTTCGATCCTTTGTCCTTGCTGTGACGAGCTGAAAGGTGTGCCGCGCCTGAGATATATCGCACCAAGAAAAGCGAAGAACCCATAGCCAGCAAGTATTGCAATCAGGCGGTCACTGGCCGTCCATCGCTCCAATGCAGTATATGCTGCAGCGGTGCTGCTATTCGAGTCTAGATCAATGGTGATCTTGTACGACTTGGCCGTCCAAAGCCATGAGAGCAGAGAACTGCACTGGCCGTAGGTAGTCGTAAAGATATCTTGAATTAACGAGGGAAGGCGTCCAAGGACCCTCAGCACAAGCTTGGGCAGCGAATCTGCTGAAATTTCCTCGATGATGGCGTTTGCAAAGCTGCTCGTTTCATTGAGCGCAAATGAGGTCGTGTTCTGCAGGCTTCGTAGTGAAGCGTGTGCGTTGAGCGTGAATTGGGTGTAGCTGGGCTGAGAAGATAATGGCGAATCCATGAACATCTTGCCAATACGAACCATAGCACTCTCTGCAAGGGAGTATGCTGGCGTAGATACTGCACGGAGTGGACCATCCATGGTTTGAGACAGTTTCCCCAAGGAACACAGCTTGACCAGACTGGAGATGGCATAAGAACTCCAGTACGTCGTACCAGCTACGAGGAAGAGCGTGACGTCGACTATGAAGTCCGTCACTGCAGCGACCGCCTGTAGAGGAATTTTGAGGAGTTCGATAGGACTTCCCACCATTATGATGACGAATTTACCCCAGAGATAAGGAACCCATACAGCGCACGCCAATGTGCAGGTGATCAGCACGGCACTGAACAGGGCGTTCTGGAAAAGACCGACAATAGGCCCTTGCATACCAATGAGCTCAAGTATACCTTCCAGGTCTTCAGCGTCTTCAATCGCTTCCTGGTCGTTGACATCTATGCCAGCTTGTGCAGCAGCAGCAGCAACTTCAGGATCTTGGGGCGCAGCATTGCCATGATCCCGCGGCTCGTTCCCTAAGAAGGGCACAAAAGGCGCTTCGTCTGCCAGATCGCGCACGATATGCTCATCGTTGCCTCCCTCTTCGGCAGGTTGAGCCATCGGGGCTATGTCTCCAAACATCCAGTCCAATACTTGGTTCACTGGATTTTGTGGAGGTTGAGGCGCTGCTGGTTGTGCGTTGGCTGGAACCGCAGGCTGATCGTCCGGGTCTTGCTGACCCACTTCAGAATGCTCCTGATCTTCGCGGGCGGTTGAGTCTTGGTCAGGTTGGCTACTGCTGTTGTCGACTTCAATCGTAGTATCGACCGTAATTGAGTTGTCTAGATGAGTAGAACTGCTTTGTGCAGAAGACGTTGACTCGGGTAGATTATCCTCCACACTGGCGTCGACAGCCTTAGCTTTACCCTTGTCGTGAACATGTTCTCCTTCCAGCGCTTGGTCGGAGTCATCTTCTACAGCCTCAGGGACTTGCTGCCAGCTTCCACTGCTGTGCTCGCTACCCGGTTCGTGATCCGATGCAGCCTCGGGTCCTTGATCGGCTCTTCGGTCTGCGTTGTCATCGTCTTCCCACGATTCAGGTACGTTTTCAGGACTTTCCTCGTTCGAAGCTGACGATTGTGGTACGTTCTCGAAAGACCATGTATTACCCTCTTCTAGGCCGCGACGAATCTCTGTCGCGATGAAGGATCTATCGCGTGCTGGCATGTTTGGTCTGTGCGAAGATGAAGACGACTCGGAACCTTCAAGATCTGGCGCTACGCCTGAAGGTTGGTGGAGTGACGAGGTTCTTGCAGGAAAGCTTGAGCTGCTAGCCTCGCCGTCTTCCATCATTGCCCGCTCGATAGCCTCGTTAAAGCTCTGGGATGGAAATCCATCGTCATAGGCATCCACAAGCTCATCCGATTGCATCATTGACCTCAAATCACCCGAGAGGCCTTCGCGTACTATGTTGCGAACAAGCTCGTCGCGTTCTCGGCGGAGCGAGGAAGACCGGCGAACGCGGCGTATCGTAGGTTCAGCAGCCTCGGGCTCATCATTTTCGCGAGTGAAGTCTCCAGGGGCAATTGGCTCGTTTTGGTCAGCATTTTCAGGTTCATGAGCTTCTTCCACATCCGCGGCCTCCCCAGCCACTTCAGCATCCAAAGCATCTAGAGCGTCTTCCAGCTCGCCCTCGTCAACGACCACGTTGTCAACGAGAGCCTCCTCTTCTATAATGGCAGCCCTCTGCGCAGCAACATTGTCACCGAGGGCAACCATATTGATGACAGGTTGTTGCTGGACCACCCACTCTCGAATCAGGAAGACAAGGATGAACGCCACGACAACGAGTAGAGTGATGATCTGGCCCTCTATCACGTCAACAATAAAGCGATTGGCGCTTTGAGACTGGAACCAGTTGAAGAAGGGGACATCGGAGAGAAGCGACGGACTGCGAATACCGAGATGGTCTGAGGTAGTATTGGAAACGGTGCCGTTCTTGTCAACGACAGATACGTGAGTAGTTATTCTGTCGGGTTGTGCAAGCTGGGAAAAGGGGAACGGGACCCCGAAGAAGACTCGTTTGGCATAGGTCCAGAGGATGGATTCGCTAGTCGTGGAATTGTTTGGAGTATATGTTATCTTCATGGGCCCGACGGTACTTGCCACATGCACAGTCGAGTTGCTGCTCTTGGCGGTATCGAGTGCGGAGCGTATCAAGTCGATATCGCTAGGGGCCAGTCCTCTACCAGTCGCGGGCATTACTGACGTCTCAGGTGTGTCGGCAAACATGTCTTGTGACCAGCCACCATCGCCGACCCAGAACAGGCTGCGCCATACGACGCGCATGCACCAGGGTAGTAGGAAGAGCCAGACGGCGCCCACCAGGACCCCTCGGCACCAGGTTGTGAACATGTTGAGTACGTGGAGAGCGGCGCGGCGTACGAAGACGGTCGTGGGTATGCGATTCGGCATGCCGGGGTGGTATAGTTTGGTGAAGCGGAAGGATGTCTTGCACAGTTCGCAGTGCTTCTTCTGGGTGTGGGACAGCCATTCCATCAGGCATTCTTGGTGGACGTATTTGATGCTACCGCTGCACTTGCAGGGAAAGAACAGAGGCTCCTCGG